GACTCACCACCAAGGTGGGTTAATTTTTAACTATTTTCTCTCCTTCCCCATCCTGTATCTGATCCACTACCAAATTCTTCCCTTTGTTGCTTTTATTACAAGATGTATCGTTCCTTATTTTTCACATTCACTGCTTCCTCTCTATCCCCATAGATTCCACCTTTGGCCCAAATTCCCACAGCCTCTGTCACACTGTCCTTTCTGACCTAGGATTTTCCTTTCTCCTACTGGAATAATCTTTCTAAAACGCTGTTTAGTGTGTATGTTTTCAGCTTCAGATTCCTCAAATGCTGGGCATACCAGCTGTTAACCTGTGTGTTCCATAAGAAGGGACCCAGATTAATTCATGGTGCGCCCAGACCACAGAGTCCAGCCCTGGGCCTGTTACATAGCAGAAGGGCAGCAAATGACCTATCCACTTGGTTGTGCTGACTTGGTGACCCCATTACCCTGGAGTCTGTTGGTTCCTCATGCTCGCTCAGGCCCTTTTGTTTTGAAAAGTCCCTGTTTTTTATTTACCAAATCTTCAGAGAGGGGTGGGGAAGGGAGAGGCTGACATCCAAGTTAGCATCAGGGAGTTTGTGCGAGGTGCCAACTGCAAAGACCTTGAGTGCACAGTGAAATGAATGAGTGCAGCTGCCTGCTGGGATCCTCTGCTTTGGTAAGACACAGAAAATCACTGAGGAGGGTGGAAGGCAGAAAGGTGAGTGGGCGCAACCAGTGACTTTGGGTTTACAGACGGATCTTTTCACCATTGGAGATTGCAGCCTGCCTAACTCTGGGTCCCTGGTCTGATGCCCGTGGATTGTTCTCTTTCTTGGCAGCAGATCATACACACATACGCACACAGACACGCACACACACACTTTCTCTCTCCCTCCTGGTGATCCTGACCCCCAACATTTCAACATCTACCTCCTGCAGGAGGGCTCTGATACTCTACAAGCCATTTCGATTGTTTTGTCAACTTCCCTCTGAGCCCTGTGAGCTGCCTTCAGTCTCTTCTCTATTTTATCGCTTACTTATGTCCCGTAATATTTTCAACCCCATTGATTATAATCTCTTTCATGGCAGGGATAGTGTCTTTCATTTATTTATTTAATATAATCTATTTGTTTAGACAAGGGAGCATGAGATAGGACACTTTGACTTTGGAGGCCACATAAGCCTGGATCTGGATTCCAACACTTAGCTGTTTGGCCTTGGACAACTCTCTCAACCTCTGAACCAGTGTCTTCATCTGTAAAAGTCACTAGTGATAGTTACCTTGCAGAATGAGGGGCAAAGATTACAGAGAATACAAAGGGCCCAAAAAAGTGCCTGTTGCAGAGTGATCAGACAATAGTTGGTCTTCATTCCCTGCACGCTGGGAGCCTTCCCTGAATTGGGGGACAAAGTTCCTTAACTAGCCTTCCCCCCCATACTGGAACACTTTTTAATCATTACACTGGTTCCACAGACGTGACCCGGGGCGCAAGGCCATCCTACCCTAACTAACAATAACGGGTGAGGGCAGGGTTCAGACCCTGAGCCACCGTAGCCCAGTGCCTAAGCATGGCGCCCAGCAGAGCTCAAGCTCAATGAACGTTTGTTGAATGAACAGAACCGGTCCTCCCTTCGGTTTCTTGCAGCATCAGCGAGTGAGGAAGCAGATTGAAAAGCCCGCCCCCGCAGACTCCCCACCCCCACCTGGGTCCCAAAGCCTCCAGTAGCCTCCTTTCTCTAAGGTCTCTCCTTCTCCAGCCCGCTTCCCCCACCCCGGTTGCCTTGGAAACAGTGACGTGTGCATGCGGGGCGTGAGCCCTCTCCATCCTCTCCTGGAGCCCCTGGCCCCTGCCTACTCAGACCCCGGCAGAGGATGAGATCGGGGGTCCTCGACCCTACCGCCCGCCTCCCGTCCCGGTGCTAGCCACGCCCACAGGGCCGCCCCCCGCGGGCGCGTAGCTCGCTCCAGTGCGGGCGCCCCACCCCCAGCCCGCCCGGCGCCGGTGAACTGGCGGGGGTCTGGAGAATGCCGGCTTCGGCCTCTGGGATCCCTTCCCACTCCTTCACCCCTGGCGGGCCAATGGATCCCGAGAACGCGGGCCGGCCCGCCCCTTCCCGGGCAGCCCTCGAGCGCGCTCCGCGTCCTGGGGGGTAGGCGGGAAGGGTGGGAGCCCCCGGGGCGCCCGAGCGCCGCGGAGCGCGGGAGAGCAGGGGTTAAACAAGGTGCCGGCGCCGGGCGCGGCGGGAGTGGGGGAAGGGAGCGAAGGGAAAGTGAGAGCGGGGGCGGCGGGGGGGCGGGGGGGGGACGGGAGCGAAAGAACATCCTGTGCCCGTCGCCGGATGCGCGCCTGGGGAGGAGGTAGTCCGGGGAGGGGGGGAGCTAAGCGGGGAGGCCCGGGGCGGGGAAAGGCTCGGCCTCCGCCCCCCACCCGGCCCTCCTCCTCTGGGGGCGCCAATCTCAGTGCTTTCGCCGCGTTTCTTCTTGTCCCCCGGCTTCCGCTGGAGTAACGAGCTACAGAGAGGCCCCCGAATCTGGTTCCTGGGCCTGGGTAAGAGCCAGCTGGGGAGGGGACGGTCTCGGAAAGCGTGGGGTCCACGGCAGGGCACGGGCCGCACCCCCTGCCTTTCGTCTCTCCACTTTCTGGCTTTCTGCCTGGAGGAGCTCGCACGTATGGATTGCCCCCTGCTCACCAAGGGTCGCAACATAAATTCTGTCATTCAGTTCTGACAGCAGCACTTCCTGGTAGTTGGTAGGTGTCAGTAAACCCATATTCCGGAGGAGGAAACACAGGCTCAGATTATGGGATTTGCCCAAATCCAAGCCCATCGGACTCCAGTGAACGTTCCAATATACAGTAGGCTAATTTCCCCTTAGTTTCTCCTGTGCTTACAAGCGCTGGTCCCCTCCAGTGTCCCCCGCCATAAAGACCTAGCACTGTGTCTTGCACAGTAGGCCGCCAATAGCGTAATAGGCTTTTTAAATTAACTCGGTTGAAACACTCATTACCAGGGCTTCGTTGGTTGGGGTTTCGTAGGTGGGGAATGGGCTGGGGGAAAGAGCCCTCCTGGTTTAAGTATTCTGGGGGGCTTCAGAGAGGCTCCAGAGTTGTTCAAGGCAATTAAATGGGTCAGGGGAGTTGAGATTGATTAGCCTGAAGAAGAGGGGTGGGGCGGGTGGAGGTGAATGTCTTTCAGGTATCACTGAGACCCACCATCTGTGTGCTCACTGCCTTCCCACACCCAACGTTTTTGTCCAGGTGAAACCTGCTTATGATAGTAATTGTAGTTGACATTTGATGGGCCCTGGGCACTGTTTCAAGGATTTAATCCTCACAAACCATCCCAAGAGGCAGACATTATTATTACCATTTTCCAGGTGGGGAAAGTGGGGTACAAAGAGAGCGCAAAGCTAAGTCAGTGGCCAAACTGGTTTTGAACCCTGGTGGTCTGGCTCGAGCCCACACTCTCCTTCACTAAACTAAGTTGCACCTACCATGATGGGAACATCAGCTTTGAGAGTAGAAAGCCAGTGCAGATGGCAGAGAGGTGTGTGCTAGGTCAGCCCGCGTGTTTTGCCTTGGTCAGGATAGGAAAGAAACTTGGGGCTGGTTGTGCGTATCTGGAATCTCAGACTTCTCTGTCTGGATTTGACAGAAAGCAAAATAAGAAAACAAAAGCCAAGTTCCTACAAAGTTGCATCTTGAACTTATGCACCCTAAGAACACTCAAAACACAACTGCCATCTATTATCACTATCATTTCGTAAAAGCAAGCGCATTTTAATTCTCAAAATAAGAAAGACCTCCTCTGAATCAAAAGCAGTCATTCCCAAGAAAAGACAGTCATTGACTTTACACCAACAAATGGACGTTCCTCTGTAATTTTTTTTTTCACGGTGCTGTGGACTAGTGAGAATGTCACTCTGCGCATGGCCTCTGCCTCTTGGTCCCTGTGTATCATCTGAGAGCAGAACCAAGAGAAGTGTGCTTTAGGTGTAGCAGGAAGGAGTTGGGTTAAAGCCAAAAGAGGATGCTTTTTTTTTTTTTTTTCTTTAAAGAACAGGTGAGCGCTGCATTTACGTAGGAAGTGAGGGTTGCAGAGTCAAGCCCACGGACTAGAGAGGCCAGTAGCCCTGGTTTCTACCCCAGAGAAGGGCAGCAACCTTGTTCTGAAGGATCTACCCTCAAATCCACCAGGGTAGCCTTAGAACCTAAAGCAGTCCCATCAGGCCGCCATTTCCTGCCTGGAGTCCATGGGGCATGACAGGTGGTTCCATGGCAGCAGGGAGGCCTCCAGGGGCCTCTGTCACCCCTCATCACAGAGTCCATGTAGTCACCCACCTTGGGTGACTTGGGTAGAGTGCTTGGGTAGGAATGACCCTTGAGGAGGGCCGAGGACAGAAGAGAGGAAAGGAATGACCACCTAGGAGTGTTGCCTGTAGCCCAGGGTGTGCGATGTGAAGGCTCTGAGTGGATGGGCCCGGCTGGCTGCAGCCTCCTTGGGGATGCTACTTTCCTATTTCCTCACATCCTTCAAGTCCAGGTGTAGCCCAGGACCTAGACCCTTCTAACAGGAGCTTAAACCCAGGCAGGTGAAGCCCTCTTCTGGTACAATGGTGCTCAGTGCTGGCTCTGGGCCTGAGCCTGGCTTGGGGTTTGTCACTTCCCTGGTTTGTACTAGGAGGCAAGGCCAGAGGGGACAAGCAGGGAAAGGGGAGAAAGAGGGAAGGGTCTAGTTTCACCTGCCCTATCCTATTGGTGGAGACCAAGTCCTCCAAAGTCGAACTCTCATTTTCTGGGATGGTGGCATTTTCTCCACAGGAGGCCTCAAGCCTCATCTCACTGTGTAGGGGTGGGGCAGGGCACTGGGTTGTGGTTCTCCCAGATTTAGGCCCCCATCGTTTATTTATTTTTAAGTTTCTTTGAGAGAGTATGTGCACATGAGCAGGGGAGGGGCAGGGAGAGAGAGAAGGAGTGAGAGAGAGAATCCCAAGCAGGCTCCACACTGTCAGCCCAGAGCCCGATGCAGAGCTCAAACCCACAGACTGCAAGACCATGGCCTGAGCTGAAATCAAGAGTCGGATGCTCAACCAACTGAGCCACCCAGCCACCCCTTAGACCCCCATCATTTAAAGGCACACACCTACCCAAGTTTTAATCCTGGAGTTATAGAATGGTAAATCTGGATCCTCTCAGGTTGCAAATGCACAAACTGAGACCCAGACATGGGCAATCTCATCCTCCTCCAGGGTCACACCGGTTGGGCCTGGAGTGCCTATGTAACCAGATTCTTGCTCACTCTGGGTTGGATTTTGACACTGTTGACAGAAGTCATGATTTTGACACTGTTTGACAGAAGTCATGATTTGAGCCCCTCCTAAGTACAGGACTCTATCAGATGTTGCAGGTGCCGAGAGAGCTGCCCTCAAGAGCTTTTGGCCAGACAGGTAATTACTACCCACTACAGGGGGAACTACAGTTGCTGGAAGGTGAGTTTGCCTCAAGACCGTGAAACTTTACGAAGTGCTCCCCTTGATGGAAGGGGGCCCTGCCTGCAGAAACACCCAGATGCCCAGCAGTCAATCCATGGTGAAGAAATCAAAGATGAGAGGCCAAGGAGTGAGGGAACAGGGTTGCCAGTTGGGCACACCCGACGCCCCTCCCAGAAACTTCCCAAGGAACAAGCCCAGAAATTGGGCCTCTGCTGCCCTCTAATGGAGGAAAGCCAGACTCTAGAGCTGCCTACCGGGGCCCAGCCGTCCTGGCTCTCCTAAAGAAAAGGGGACGTGAAGGACCTTCCTGCCCCCAGAATTTTTATTCCCTTAGAGTCTCGAGCTTCATTTCCTACAGCCTCAGAAGCTGAAACTTCTCTCCTTCCAAGCGCCTCTGGCCATCTTGTTTCCCGATCACCACCCTCCATCCTGTTTCCCCAGTTTCCTTTGTTGCCCAGGTTCTGATTCTGGTACCCTGGTTCCCGGCCCTGCCAGAGTTCTGGTTCCAGAAGGCCCTTGCCAGGTGCCTTGGGCCTAGCTCCCACCTGGGAGCAAGGCAGCGCTGAAGACATGGGCATGAGCGTCCCCCAGTGCCTGGGGCAACTGCACATCCGCAAGGGTGTAGTGGGCTTGGCCACAGGTGCTGGGTTCATCTACCTGCTCTACAAGGCCATCAAGGCTGGCATAAAATGCCAACCGCCCCTCTGCACCACCTCACCAATCTGCATCGCCCGTGAGTGTCCGGGCCCTGGGGAGAGGGCTCTGCCCCAGGAGGCACCTGCTCCCGAGGCCTCCAGTGTGGGAGGGCCCAAAGGTGACTCCTCCAAGCTCCTCTCTCCTTCCTCTTTCTCTCCTCCATCTTCCTCAAACCCGCCCTACAGATGCTAGCTCAGAGTCCCCAGGAAGTAGATGGCTCTCCAGGACTCCTCTGGCAGGTCTCCGAATTTGACACTCACTCTAGCCCCCAGGATGCCACTGCTTGGAAACTTGGCATCAGCAGTTCTTCCTAAGGGAACGGTTGGGGCACCTACATGCCCAGAACCTCCACCGGTCCATAGGACAACTTTGTGCCGAGTAGAAAAAGGCACCCTTCTGCCAGACTTTTTGATTGCCGTCTGTTGGAATATCGTTGCCATATACTGATTATAATGAAATACCACATATGACTGCCATATGCCAGGAAATTGTTATAGTAAACACAAAACTATGACATTTAGGATACAAACGATACATCATTAGACGAAGTGCCCTGGTGCACAGCTCAGCTGTCTGTGGCGGTCCTGCATGTAGCAGGAAGGCCTCTCTTCAGAAAAAGCAAGACAGTCTTGTCCCCAGCTCCCTCTCCCCCACTTCCCAACCCCATTCTCTGACCACTCCTGAGTCCCCAGCCTGAATCTGGCTGGGGTGGCTCTCTAGGCCTGGCAATCGAGCGAGAGCGGCACGGGCGGGACTCAGGTGAGCTCCGGAGGCTCCTCAACTCTCTGGAGTGCAAACAGGATGAGTACGCCAAGAGCATGATCCTGCACAGTATCACGCGCTGTGTGTACTTGCTGGAGGCCGAGGTGAGGGAAAGGAAGCAGGAAGTCCCTCCCAACCAGCCCGGCCCCCGGGGGCTACGGCCGATCCCTGCCCCCTTGGCTGGACAGACTGTGTCCTGAGACCTGTCTCTCTGGCTGCTGGCGGGAGGGGTCGTGCTGAGGGGCCTTGGTAACATGGGGGGCTGTGGGCCCAGGACACCTGCTTCTCCTGCCTCTTCTGTCTCTCTTGGCACACTCTAGGCCTCTGCTTGTACTACTGATGACATCGCATTGGTGGGCTCCATGCTGGATGACAAGGACAACAGTGTCAAAATCCAAGCTCTGAACACACTTAAAGCTTTCTCTGGCATCAGAAAATTCAGGCTTAAAGTCCAGGTGAGCAAAAGCAAGCGGTGGGGTGGAGCACACAGGCTGTCCACAGACTGTGGGTTCTTTAATAGGCATGGGGTAAATAAATGGTCATGCTCCGGAAGTTTTGGGGTCCGATTTTCCTTGTAATCAAGTGAGAAAATGGTGGTCAGATTCCTGGCAGGATCATAAAAGCCTTTGAATATCAGGCTGAAACTGAACTAGGGTGCTAGGAGTATCTCTGAGTCCCAACTAGCAGAAAGCCCCAAGGTTCTTTCTGATACCATCCCATCCGACAACACCAATGGGGTGTCCTATGATGCAACTGCATTCTGACACTGTCTACCTGGAGTTAGTGCAGACCCCACAGATAAAGGATTCAGCCCCACGAGACTGCCTCCCACGTCACATGCCAGTCACAAGTGCCAGTACACTTAGCTATAAATTTGGACTTCCTCCTCTGGTTTGAGAATTCACTAGGAAGACTCACAGAACTCAGGAAAACACTTTACTTACATTTACCAGTTAATTATAAACTGAGGAGAAGCCAGATGGAGGAGATGCATAGAGCAAAGTATGGCGGGGGAAGGGTGCAGTGTTTCCATGTCTTCTCTAGGTGAGCCACCCTCCTGGCACCTTGATGTGTCCACCAACCTGGAAGTTCTCCGAGCCCTGTTTAGGGGTATGTGTGGAGGTTTCATTATGTAGGTGCGATTGATTAATCATTGGCCATTTGTGATTGAACTCAATCACTAACCCCTCCCTTCTTCAACCCCCTTAATCATGGCTTGGCCTTTCTGGCCACCAGCATCCCCATCTGGAAGCTATCTATCATCCACAAGAGTCACCTGCTTGACATAAACTCTGGGGTAATGCAGAAGAACTTACTATGAAAAGCAAAACATCATTCTATCAGTCAAATGCAAGGATTTTAGGAGCTCTGTGCCTAGAACCAGGGACAAAGACCAGATCTGTCATATCACCCACCCTCTGCTGTGTTGGTCTGATGCTGGTGGCTGGGCCACTGATGCCTTCACTACTACCATATAGAGAAAATACAAGCCATCACACGTCCCCAGGCTTACCTGTTTTCACACCCATCCTTTCCTGCTTTCTCACTGATGCCATGGGAAAATGGCTTTCTTCCTGTCTGTGGTCAATGTTAGTCTCAGTACTGGATCCCATCCCCTTCTTTGAGGACTTCTTTCCTTAATTAGACTCTTTGTCTGATATGCCCCCCCCCAACTCCTTCCCATTAATTCAACATGCTCTAATCCTTCCAATCCTAAAAAAACACCATCCCGTAACAAAGAACCTTTCTTCCTTGACCTCCAAATTTCTCTGTAGCAAGTGATCTCTCCTAATTAAAAATAAATATAGAAAACTTACAAATATTTTATATGTGTACGGTAGAAAGAACTATAAACAAAACACACGTAACCAAAACCCAGGCAAAGAAATCTAACATGACCAACAGCTTAGATGCTCCAGTTGCTCCCCTCCCCCACAATCCCAACCGGAGGCAATTATTTCCTCCATTTTGTGCATCTGTTCCTTGATTTCTTTATAGTTTTACCATATATTCAGGTATCATTCTGACAACGCGAGGTAGTTAATAATAGGCAAAATGTAATTTGGGATGTTTTTAAGCTTCAACATATCTGGAAGTGTGCAGTTTGTATTCTGTGGTTTGCCTTCCCCTCAGCACTGGAAGATTCATCTTTATTGGTGTGGGTAGCTCTGTTTCCTTGTTTTCTACTGCTGTATAGTATTCTAGTTCATGAACATCCTGCGATTGTATTTATCCATTTGCCCATGGGTAGGCACTTAAATTGTTTCTACATTGTGCCATGAGCATTCTTGTATACATCTCCCTTGAGGATATAGGAGACTTTCTCTAGGATATGTATGTATGCAGGCATGGGATGGCTGGATGAAAGGGTATGCCCAACTTTTCAAAAAGGGTTCTATTAATTTACAGCCTGTACTGGCTCTGCATGAATATTCCAGTTGCATTATATTCTCCCCGCCAAAACTTGGTACTTTCACACTTTAAATTTTTTGCATCAAACTTTTTTGAGGAGGGGCACTTGGCTGGCTCAGTCAGTAGACCATGCTTGATCTTGAGGTCATGAGTTCAAGCCCCATATTGAGCATGGAGGCTACTTAAAAAGAAAGGAAGGAAGAAAAAATTGGGGGGGTTGGGGGGAAGGTCTCTAGGTCTCCACTTGCTGGCTGCCTCTGCTTTATCCCTCAGCTCTCTCAGTTTCCCTAAGTCTGTAATTCTCAGACATATCAATTGCCTGCAGAGCTGTTTAACATTGAAGATTTCAGGACCCCACACCTAGAGAGTCTAGCTGAGCCGGGGAGCTATGTTTTTCACAAGCCCCCCAGAAGATTCTGATGCAGCTGGTCTGGGCAACACTTTCCCCATCGTATCCTGAGGACCTGATCCCTATTCTCGGAGTAAAAGCAGCCGATCAGGTTTCATCTGGATGCACTTTCCTGCATCTCTGTCCGTAGCCTGGGGACTCCCTTGACCTCCAGACCCATGGCCAGCTGCTCCACTTAGACATCCTAGTGGCCCTCTAGCTCAGCATGTCCAAAATGGAGCTTGCCCCTGTTCCCTAAGTTAGACCACCCTTTCCAGAGGGATCTGGTCCCCTCAACCTCCTGCTTGGTCTTCCTTAAAGCTCTTAGCATAAAGATCACAGTCCTTCACTTCCTTGCCCCAGCCCCAGGCATTCACATTGTATGTTTCATGCTCTTCTGCTCCCTGGCCCTTGCACCGGCTGTTCCCTCTGCCTGAAACACCACACCAGATGTGCTCTTATCTGTCCTTCAGCTCTTAGTGGACAACAAGGGGTTGGGGCAGGGAGAGGCAGGTACCAGTGGGAATGCTGTGACCCTCACTCCAGGATTCTTGCCTCCCTCTTACATGGCTCACAAAAGTACAGCTTGTGGGATTCTCAGTCCTTGGTAATACCTCTCAGTCCAATTATCTTACGTCTTGGAAGTCAAGATCCCTTTATTCATTCAACAAATGTATATGAAGTACTTTGTGTTTAAGCACTGGAGACACAACAGTGAGCAGCACAGGAAAGATCTCGGTCCCAGTGGAAGCTTCTATTCCAGCAGGGCAAGGCAGGCAATACACAAATTAGGGAAATCTATGGTATATTTCACGTAACAAGTGCAACGGAGAAAAATAAAGAAGGGTGGTAAGGAAGCAGGTATGGGAACTTCCTATACAGTTTCAAAGGAGAAAATCTTTGGGACTTAGAGCTTGATGAAGGGTTCATAGAAATAGAAATAACACCAAAAGCATGATCTATAAGAAAAAATCGATACATTGGACTTCATCAAAACTAAAAGCATTTGCTTTGTGAAGAACCCTGTTAAGAGGATGAAAAGACAAGCTGCAGGCAGGGAGGAAACATTTGCAAAGCACATAGCTGACAAAGGACTCCTATCTAGATCATATAAAGAGCTCTCAAAACTCACTATTTAAAAAAATCTAAGTAGAAGATGGGCAAAAGACGTGGCGATATTGCACTGAAGAAGATCTATGAATTGCAAAGAAGCACATGAAAAGATGCTTAAAATCGGTAGACCTGAGGGAAACGTACTTAACGCTGCGGCGACCTATCACGACACACCTATTAAGTGTTCTAAACTCAAAATTTGTGACAGTACCAGATGCTGGCGAAGGCGGAGAGAGACTGGATCTCTTGTGCGTTGCTGATGGGAATGTGAAATGGTACAGCAGCCATTCTGGAAAATAGTTTGGCAGGGTTTGTTGTTGTTTTTTTTTTTTTTTTTTTTTTTTTGAAAAAATGAATTATATGTTTACCACACAACCCAGCAATTGCACTCTTAGGCATTTATCCTAGAGAAATGAAAACTTCTGTCTGCACAAAAACCTGTACACGATCTTATTCGTTGCCACTTTTCCTGTAATAGTTAAAAGCTAGAAACAAGCAAAATGTCTCTCAATGGATAGATGGTTAGACAAACTGGTAATCCACGCCATGGAACGCTAGTTGGAAACACAAAGGAGTGAAGTCTTGACACACACCACAACTTGGATCTCAAGGGCATCACACTGGGTGAGAAACCAATCTCAGAAGGTCCCAAAGTGTGATTCAATGTATGTAACATTCTCAAAGTGAAAAAATTGTAGAGATAGAAAACAGATTAGTAGTTGGGCCGCTTTGGGTGGGAAGGGGCAAATGTGACCGTAATGGAGTCCCAGGAGGAAGATCTTTGTGGTGATGGGACACCACTGATGGCATAATCCGTTGAGAGCAGTGGTGGTTACGTGAATCTACACACGTGATAAAATGACACAGCGCCAGACACACTTTGTGCCAACACCCATTTCCCCATTTTGGTATCGTGTATAGTTATGTAAGGTGTGACCATTGAGGGAAACGGGGTGACAAGCACACAGGACCTCTCTGGGCTCTTTTTGGAACTTGCTGAAAATTTATAGTTATTTGGAAATTAAAAGTTTAAAAATAAGTATGTTGCACGTGCAGTGCTGTGGGGGAATGGAATAAAGATGGGGGATAAGCAGGGCTGGGACGGGAGTGGTTGCAGTCTTAAAGAAGGGGGTGGTCAGGGAAGACCTCACGGAGAAGGCGGCATTAGCGTAAAGTCTTCAAGGAGGTAAGAGAGGGAGCTCTGACTACCTGGAGGGAGAGCATTCTAAGTAGAGGAAACAGCCTGCACAAAAACAAGATAAGCGTGTATCTGGCATGCTCAAGGAATGGCTAAGAGACCATTGTGATGGCAACCATGGGAGCCAAGGAGAATAGGTGATGAGGTCAAAGAAATAGTGGGGGGGGGGGGGGGGGGGGGGGGGGGGAGCAAATGGGACCTTGCAAGCCACTATAAGGACTTCAGCTCTTACCCTGAACGAACTAGGGACTTGAGCCGAAGAGTGACGTGTCTAACACGTCTGCTATTCTGAAAATAGAGGCAGGGGGCGAGGATGGAAGCGGGGAGACAGGAGGCTCTTGCAGAAATCCAAGTGAGAAATCATGGTGGCTTGGAACAGGGTGGTAGAGAGGAGACGGTGAGAAGCTGCTTAACTGTTGATAGATTTAGAAGGTGGAGCCAACAGGATTTTTCTGAAGGATTGGAAAAAGTGGTGTGAAGAAAAACAAAGCACAGTAGTTAAAGAGGACCACTTTAAAGATTTTTGACCCGAGTAATTGGAAGGGGGATGTAACCAACAGCAGAGACAGGGAAGATGGTGGAAGAAACAGGTTTGGGGACTGCATACATGTTAACTTTGAAAGGTCTATTAAGCATTCTGGCAAGGGACGCCTGGCTGGCTAGGTTGGCAGAGCATGTGACTCTTGATCTCGGCATTGTGAGTTCGCGCCTCACATTGGGTGTAGAGATCACTTAAAAAATAAAATCGTTAAAAATGGGGGTGGTTCACGTCGGTCAGAGTGGCTAAAATGAACAAATCAGGAGACTAGATGCTGGAGAGGATGTGGAGAAATGGGAACCCTCTTGCACTGTTGGTGGGAATGCAGACTGGTGCAGCCACTCTGGAAAACAGTGTGGAAGTTCCTCAAAAAATTAAAAATAGATCTACCCTATGACCCAGCAATAGCACTGCTAGGAATTTACCCAAGGGATACAGGAGTGCTGATGCATAGGGGCACTTGTACCCCAATGTTTATAGCAGCACTTTCAACAATAGCCAAATTATGGAAAGAGCCTAAATGTCCACTGACTGACGAATGGATAAAGAAGATGTGGTTTATATATACAATGGAATACTACTTGGCAATGAGAAAGAATGAAATCTGGCCTTTTGTAGCAACGTGGATGGAACTGGAGGGTATTATGCTAAGTGAAACAAATCAGACAGAGAAAGACAGATACCATATGTTTTCACTCACATGTGGATCCTGAAAAACTTAACAGAAGACCGTGGGGGAGGGGAAGGGGGAAAAAAGTTACAGAGAGGGAAGGAGGCAAACCATAAGAGACTACTGAGAACAAACAGGGTTGATGGAGGTGGGGGAGAGAGGAAAGTGGGTGATGGGCATTGAGGAGGGCACTTGTTGGGATGAGCACTGGGTGTTGTAT